ATCTATACCACAGCTGTACGTCTTTTTTCTTTTTCGTTTTAAGCTCTCAACATTGTGCATGCAAATAAATACAATACGATTTTCTATTTATGTTAGAAACGTTCGTGGCAACAAAAACTTTTGACTATAAGAAAATTGTATTATGTCATTTTTCAAGAGTCTCGCCGGTGTGAATGATAAAGAAAAAGTACGAAAAAAGGGAAGTCGACAGTCAAATTTATTCCAACGATCTTGTCCGTGTAATATTTTAATCTTAACATTACAAATCATTTTGGAGATTGCTTAGAAACTTTTCGTTTGCCACTTGTTAAAAAACTCGAGTTATGATTCTCTTTTATAATATTTTAAATCAGTGCGTCAAATTATCAACCAATGTTATCAGTCGCTAGAATTAGACGAAGATAACACTAGTATGTAGTGCACATTACAACGAGTAAGAGAAAGACAGAGAACTGAAAGTATGTCGACACTATTTTCATACATGTTGTTCCACACTTTGCTGCCCATAGCCGTATCTAGGTTACTAAGAAATCTCTGGAATTAACCGAAAGCTGTCACCAATTGCTAAATTTTAAGCAAAATCAACAGGTGGTGTTTCAATAGAAATGCCAAAGACAATATATTGTAGTTGCCTGTTGCATCGAAAATTGTTTTCCTGTTTTTTTTTTTAAACTTCTTGATTCTTTCTGGCTTCTTTCGATGATTTTTGTGGCGAAAATTTCTAGAACTTCGAACGTACGTCTTTAGTCAGCTTCAGTTATTATTTTTAAATATTTCTTCATTTCTTCTCGAAGATTATTCTAATAAGTTGATTCAATTTCCAAATGTTGTGTAATTTTGAGGAAACTTCTAGTTCATATTGCTGTGTTTATAGCGAATCTGTTTTGTCTGATTCTAGTCCTCTAAGATAGCACTTCTTCTACTGAAATACTCTAGAACCTTGTTACAATTTTTTTAAAAGCTGACCAAAAACATATCTCGCTTCCAAATGACTTCTTTCTCCAACAAACTTCATAATCTCACATTAGATCGCTTTTTCTTCGAACTTTATTTTCCAAGTGGAGAAATGTTTCTGTAATTATGTTCCACAGGCAAGAATTCTTCATCTTTTACAAATATTTCTAGTTTGAGTTTTCATAAAATAAAAATATGCCATTAATCAACATTGTGTTATCTTGATTGCGACCTCATGGTGAAAAATTAGGAACGTTGAATTTATTACGTCAAATATTTATGGAGGCGATTAGTTAAAAAGGTAGCAAATAGTAGGCATTGATAAAATTACCACTCGACAGGATTATAATAATCGAATCACCTACACAAAATTTGTTTGTAACTGATTAAGTACGGGGTTATATAGATATTATTAAGAAGATAGAGATCTTGGTGATCAAACTTATTGTTTTCGAGTACCAGAAAGTAGTACCGAATCACATTAGTACCATGTACTTCAATTGAAAAAGATTTTTTGAACATGGAATAACTTAAGAAGTTTATACAGCCATTGTTTCAAGTTTCTGGAGATTTTTTCAAGGCGTTCTCATAACCTGTTCTACAATTTGGATAAAAATTGTAATCCAGTTTCGGCTTTGGGTCATAAAATTAATCCAGTGTCACAAAATCTTTATAAATCCACTGATGGCATTGACCAAGATTAATCTGTTCGTATATAAACCCACCACAGAAAAACTCCAGCAGTATTGTACCGAATACACTTCTAAGAACTCAACAAAAATGGCACCTAAAAGGTAAGTTTCAAAATACATATTTTTTAATTTTCTTCATAAAACATTCTAATTTTAGCTTCTCGATGTATTTGCTTTCCCTCATTGTTGCAATAAATATTGTTGCAATAATGGCCACCCACACCCATTATGACCCAAACAAAGTTTATACCATTCGTCCCGTGCATGATAAAACTGTGGCTTTACATACTCGTAATCCATCACAAGTTCAGTTGCAAATATACAGCCACGGGAAAGCCTTCTCGCTCTTCCATATTCAACACAGCCACGAAGATAGATCATTGTACCACCTAGTTAGTGAACCAACAGGGTAATATCAGACTTAAACTGTCTACACATTTTCAATAACATTGCTTAAACTATTTAGAGAAGTAATGGACGTGCATAGAAGAACAAAATCCGTTATCATGAGCTCAAGAAATGGGTCTCTTAGGCAGTTGTGGTACTTGACACATGATAATCGTATTGTTAATGCAGATACCCACTTGGCTCTTACCCTCAGATATCGACATGTTGAAAATGGACATCTTAAATATGGAACTCCGCTTATTGTTTCTCAAAATAACGGAAGCATAAACCAGGAATTTAAAATATGGGAAGATTTACCTTCATCAACCTATTAAAGTGTTCGTCATATTCTATGTTATCCTTGTATACTTGTATGTTGTGTATATATGAACTTAACTCTAACTTAACAAAACAATGTTACATTTATACAGAATTTAAAATATAAAATATAAATATACTTAATACAACTTGTGTATTTAAATGCATTATGTCCACTATAAAGGTACATCCATTAGTAAAACTCGAATTGTTGATCTTTTCCAAAATTCTCACCAGATGCTATGTAGACAACATTTCCTGCGTAAAATGTGTTCTGGTCGACCATTATACCGTAATTATAGAAACCACCGTTCATACTAGTGCCATCACCATTGATAATAAATTCTTGATAGACGCTGCTTTCAAACCAAATCAAAGTAAAATTGACTTCATTGTCGTAGCCATGCTCACCTAGCTGAAGATAACCCAGTGCCCTCCTGTAAAAGTACTGCTTGATTAAGTGAACTGGGAGAAATTCAACTTACTCTGTGAACTCTGTGTAGGTACAGATGATGTTAAACAATCCAGTCTCACTAGCGGGTTTTATCCTGAGTTGCTGATATCTTGCAGAAGTGTTATAAGGTTGAATCCTGATGCCTTTATTGTCACTTGCGTCCAAAATTAAATCAGAATCCTTATGATCGGAAGTATCTGGTTGACGTTAATCTGGTGTTTAAAGAGTGTTTGTTTTTTTATTATATAAAACTTTTAAGTACTGTCTCTGATATCATCATACATTTAGTTGAATATTTAATGACACAATGATAAGAAAAGAAAGGAATAAAGAGTAAAAAATAATTGTTATTGAAATTTTTTTATGGGGGTTATAATCGACTTCTCTGAGCACGTAGAGACCGTTTAATGAAAATTGGGCTGAGTAATTGCATCATAACGCAAAGTAAAATTTGGATTAGATAACTTTTATCAACCACACAAAAAACAATTATAAAAATCTCACAACAAATGCGTTTAGCTCTACGCATATGCAATAAAACGATAGGTATTGAAACATCGAATAAAAATCACACTTGAAATCTTCATGAATTATGAATGAGTGTCAACATAAATCCTGATTATATCTGAGTATAAATAGATCCCGTTTTGAAGTGGTTCCTCACTTCTTAATTAAAATGGCGTCTTTCAAAATGTATTATCTCGCGATATTGGTGATGTCTTACTAATACTTTTATTTTTAGGTTAATTATTTTGTTTGTGGGGCTCTATGTATATTGGGTTTGTTCTGAGCGAGTGCAGTAGCCTTGATAAAATGTTCCAAACAGCATAAAGGAAAATATTTAAAAATTTTTTTCGCTTTGCTTCAAGCACATTCTACCTAATCTTTTTCTTTGCAAAAATATTCTCAAGAATTTCTTAATTTTTGACGATCTCTAAAGTCTTTGCCATTTCTATTGAAACACCACTTGTTGATCGTAAATTTGGCAACGTTCATATTCTGACAATTTTCTAACTAAAAGGCGTTGTGAATTAACCGAAAGCTGTCACCAATTGCTAAATTTTAAGCAAAATCAACAGGTGGTGTTTCAGTAGAAATGGCAAAGACAATATATTGTAGTTGCCTGTTGCATCGAAAATTGTTTTCCTGTTTTTTTTTTAAACTTCTTGATTCTTTCTGGCTTCTTTCGATGATTTTTGTGGCGAAAATTTCTAGAACTTCGAACGTACGTCTTTAGTCAGCTTCAGTTATTATTTTTAAATATTTCTTCATTTCTTCTGGAAGATTATTCTAATAAGTTGATTCAATTTCCAAATGTTGTGTAATTTTGAGGAAACTTCTAGTTCATATTGCTCTGTTTATAGCGAATCTGTTTTGTCTGATTCTAGTCCTCTAAGATAGCACTTCTTCTAATGAAATACTCTAAAACCTTGTTACAATTTTTTTAAAAGCTTACCAAAAACATCTCGCTTCCAAATGACTTCTTTCTCCGACAAACTTCATAATCTCACATTAGATCGCTTTTTCTTCGAACTTTATTTTCCAAGTGGAGAAATGTTTCTGTAATTATGTTCCACAGGCAAGAATTCTTCATCTTTTACAAATATTTCTAGTTTGAGTTTTCATAAAATAAAAATATGCCATTAATCAACATTGTGTTATCTTGATTGCGACCTCATGGTGAAAAATTACGAACGTTGAATTTATTACGTCAAATATTTATGGAGGCGATTAGTTAAAAAGGTAGCAAATAGTAGGCATTGATAAAATTACCACTCGACAGGATTATAATAATCGAATCACCTACACAAAATTTGTTTGTAACTGATTAAGTACGGGGTTATATAGATATTATTAAGAAGATCGAGATCTTGGTGATCAAACTTATTGTTTTCGAGTACCAGAAAGTAGTACCGAATCACATTAGTACCATGTACTTCAATTGAAAAAGATTTTTTGAACATGGAATAACTTAAGAAGTTTATACAGCCATTGTTTCAAGTTTCTGGAGATTTTTTCAAGGCGTTCTCATAACCTGTTCTACAATTTGGATAAAAATTGTAATCCAGTTTCGGCTTTGGGTCATAAAATGAATCCAGTGTCACAAAATCTTTATAAATCCACTGATGGCATTGACCAAGATTAATCTGTTCGTATATAAACCCACCACAGAAAAACTCCAGCAGTATTGTACCGAATACACTTCTAAGAACGCATCAAAAATGGCACCTAAAAGGTAAGTTTCAAAATACATATTTTTTAATTTTCTTCATAAAACATTCTAATTTTAGCTTCTCGATGTATTTGCTTTCCCTCATTGTTGCAATAAATATTGTTGCAATAATGGCCACCCACACCCATTATGACCCAAACAAAGTTTATACCATTCGTCCCGTGCATGATAAAACTGTGGCTCTACATACTCGTGATTCATCACAAGTTCAGTTGCAAATATACAGTCACGGAAAAGCTTACTCGCTCTTTCATATTCAGCACAGCCGCGAAAATGGATTGTTATTCTACCTAGTTAGTGAACCAACAGGGTAATATCTGACATAAAGTATCTACACATTTTCAATAACATTGCTTAAACTATTCAGGGAAGTAATGGACTTTAATAGAAGAACTAAATCCGTTATCATGAGCTCAAGAAATGGGTCTCTTAGGCAGTTGTGGTACTTGACACATGATAATCGTATTGTTAATGCAGATACCCACTTGGCTCTTACCCTCAGATATCGACATGTTGAAAATGGACATCTTAAATATGGAACTCCGCTTATTGTTTCTCAAAATAACGGAAGCATAAACCAGGAATTTAAAATATGGGAAGATTTACCTTCATCAACCTATTAAGGTGTTCGTCATATTCTGTCTTATCCTTGTATACTTGTATGTTGTGTGTATATGAACTTAACTCTAACCTAGCAAAACAATGTTACATATATACAGAATTTAAAATATAAAATATAAATATAATACAACTTCTGTATTTAAATGCATTATGTCCACTATAAAGGTACATCCATTAGTAAAACTCGAATTGTTGATCTTCTCCAAAATTCTCACCAGATGCTATGTAGACAAAATTTCCTGCGTAAAATGTGTTCTGGTCGACCATTTTACCATAATTATAGAAACCGCCGTTCATACTAGTGCCATCACCATTGATAAAAAATTCTTGATAGACGCTGCTTTCAAACCATATCAAAGTAAAATTGACTTCATTGTCGCAGCCATGCTCACCTACCTGAAGATAACCCAGTGACCTCCTGTAGTAGTACTGCTTGATTAAGTGAACTGGGAAAATTTCAACTTACTCTGTGTAGGTACTGATGATGTTAAACAATCCAATCCCACTAGCAGGTTTTATTCTGAATTGCTGATATCTTGCTGAACTGTTATAGGGTTGAATCCTGATGCCTTTATTGTCACTTGCGTCCAAAACTAAATCAGAAACCTTGTGATCGAAAGAATCTGGTTGACGTTAATCTGATGTTTAATGAGTGTTTGTTTTTTTTATTGTATAATACTCTTAAGTACAAACCTACTGTCTCTAATTTCATCATACAATGAATCGAATATTTTATGTCACAACCATAAGAAAGAAAAGGAAGTAAGAGTAAAAATAATTGGTAAGTATTGAAATTTTTTATGGAGGCTTTGGTCAAGTTCTCTTAGCACGTATAGACCGTTTATTGAAAATTGCGATGAGTAGTGGCATCATAACGTAAAAGTAAAATTTGAATTAGATAACTTTTATCAACCACACAAAGAACAATGACAAAAATCTTACAACATATGCGTCTAGCTCTACGCTTATGCGACAAAACGATAGCCACTGAAGCATCAAATAAAAAGCACACTGGAAATCTTGATGAGTAATGAATGAGTGTCATAAATTCTAATTCTGCCTGAGTATAAATAAATCCCGTTTTGAAGTGATGCCTCACTTCTTAACTAAAATGGCGTCTTTAAAATTGTATTTTCTCGCGATATTGGTGATATCTTACTAATACTTTTATTTTTAGGTTAATTATTTATTTTGTGGGGCTCTCTGTGAATATTGGGGTCGTTCTGAGCGACTGCAGTAGCCTTGACAAAATGTTCTACATACAGCATAAAGGAAAATATTTGAAAATTTTCTTCGCTTTGCTTCAAGCACATTCTACCTCCTCTTTTTATTTGTAAAAATATTCTGAAGCATTTCTTAATTTTTGATAATCTGTATACTGTAGTTGCCTGTTTCATCGGACATTGTTTTCCTGTTTTTTTTTTTAAACTTCTTGATACTTTCTGGCTTCTTACGATGATTTTTGTGACGAAAATTTCTAAAACTTCGAACGTACGTCTTTAGTCAGCTTCGGTTATTATTTTGAAATATTTCTTCGTTTCTTCTCGATGATTCTTCTAATAAGTTGATTCAATTTCCAAACGTTGTATAATTTTGAGGAAACTTCTGGTTCTTATTTCTTTGTTGATAGCGAATCTGTTTTGTCTGATTCTTGTACGCTAGGATGGCACTTCTTCTTAATGAAAAACTCTACAACCTTGTTTTCTTTTTCCAAATTCAATCATTTCCTACAGACAAAAACCAATTTCTCTAAAAGCTGACTAAAAACATATCTCATTTCCAAATAACTTCTTTCTTCAACGAGCTTCATAATCTCACATTAAATCGCTTTTTCTTTGAACTTCAGTTTCCAAGTGGAGAAATGTTTCTATAAAAATGTTCAAGGCAAGAATTCTTCATCTTTTACGAATATTTCTAGTTTACGTTTTCATAAAATGACAATATGTCTTTAATCAACATGTGTTATCTTGATTGGGGCCTCATGGTCAAAAGTTTCTAAAATTTAATTTATTAGGTCAAATATTTATGGAGGCGATTAGTTAAAGAGGTAGCAGATAGTAGGCATTGATAAAATTATCACTCGACAGGATTATAATCGAATCACCTACACAAAATTTGTTTGTAAATGATTAAGTACGGGGTTTTATATATATATATATATTATTAAGAAGATAGAAAATTTTGTGATCCAACTAATTGTTCTCGAGCACCAGAGATTAGTACCGTATCACATTATTACCATGTATGTACTTTCAATTCAAGAAGATTTTTTGAACCTGAAATAAATTAGCAAATCTGACATCTACTGTTTCAAATTCCTGGAGATTTTTCAAGGCCTTGTCCATAACCTGTTCTACAGTTTGGATAAAAATTCAATCCAGATTCGGCTTTGGGTAATAAATTTAATCCAATCTCACAAAATCTTTAAAAACCCACTAATGGCATTGATCAAGATTAATCTATTCGTATATAAACCCACCACAGAAATACTCTAGCAGTATTGTTCCGAATACACTTCTAAGAACACAACAAAAATGGCACCTAAAAGGTAAGTTTTAAAACATATATTTTTTAATTTTCTTTATAAAACATTTTAATTTTAGCTTCTCGATGTATTTGCTTTCCTTCATTGTTGCAATAAATATTGTTGGAATAATGGGTACCCATTATGACACAAACAAAGTTTATACCATTCGTCCCGTGCATGATAAAACTGTGGCTCTACATACTCGTGATTCATCACAAGTTCAGTTGCAAATATACAGTCACGGAAAAGCCTTCTCGCTCTTCCATATTCAACCCCGACACGAATACTTCTACCTAGTTAGTGAACCAACAGGGTAATATATCTGACATAAAGTATCTATACATTTTCAATAACATTGCTTAAACTATTTAGAGAAGTAATGGACGTTCATAGAAGAACTAATTCCGTTATCATGAGTTCAAGAAATAATAGGTCTTCTACGCAGTTATGGCACTTGACAGATGATCATCATATTTTTAATAAAGGTACCAACTTGGTTCTTACTCTCAGATATCGACATTTCGAAAATGGACATCTTAAATATGGAACCCCGCTTATTGTTTCTCAAAATAACGGAAGCATAAACCAGGAATTTAAAATATGGAAAGATTTACCTTCATCAACCTATTAAGGTGTTCGTCATATTCTGTGTTATCTTTGTATATTTGCATGTTGTGTGTATTATGAACTTAACTCTAACCTAGCAAAATAATCTTATATTTATTTAATGTTAATACAGGATTTTAAATACCAAATATAAATATAATACAACTTCTGTATTTAAGTGCATTTTGTCCACTATAAGGGACCTCCATTAGTCAACTCGAATTGTTGATCTTCTCCAAAATTCTCACCAGATGCTATGTAGACAAAATTGCCTGCGTAAAATGGGTTCTGGTCAACCATTATACCGTAATTATAGAAACCACCATTCATAATAGTGCCATCACCATTGATAAAAAATTCTTGATAAACGCTGCTTTCAAACCATATCAAAGTAAAATTGACTTCATTGTAGTAACCATGCTCACCTACCGGAAGATAACCTAGTGCCCTCCTGTAAAAGTACTGTCTTGATTAAGTGAACTGCGAAAGATTCAACTTACTCTGTATAGGCATTAATGATGTTAAACAATCCAGTCCTACTAGCAGGTTTTATCCTAAATTGCTGATATCGTGCAGAACTGTTATAAGGCTGAATCCTGATGCCTTTATTGTCACTTGCGTCTAACACCAAACCAGAAACCTTATTCCTGATGTAGAAGTACTGATCTAAGGAGCTGCAGTCACTCAGCACGGTGACAACGGTCGTACATAAAACCACAGAAATTAGGAAAACTACGTTAAAATTAATCATTTTCGTTCAAAGTGGTACAACTCGAAAATAAACACAAGTGATGAGTGTATCTCTAATATATAGCGAGTGTTATCTAGTACTCATAACAGTCATAACCCTTTTGACTGAGAATTGCGTCAGGTCGTTTCGTTTCAATAGGTGGACTTACAGTGTGAATTGTGCTTTTATTTTTTCTAAGTGCCGAAAGTCAAAATAGTGACAAGAGTTGCATCAGAAACAAGAGATAAAATCCTTGCCACTTTACTTTTAACGACAAGCGGCTATATAAGCAACAAATGAACAACACTGACTATTGATATAGTATCTGGCAAGTTTAACGATGCACCTTCAAGCTTCAACGTACGTATCCACGCTAACACCGTTTGCAAATTTTAACCAAAATTTTAGTTTCTGGGCACTTTTGCTTCTGGGTGCCGCAAGCACCACTTCCGCTGCTGATTGTGGCAATCTGGATCAAAACATCGTCATCAGAAGCCACAAGTCAGGGTTGGTTTTAGTCGCTGATGAAGTGTTGAACATTATAACTCTGCAAGTTTACGACCGGTCGGTTAGCCAACGGTTCCATTTTCAACCTGGTGTGACCCTTGCATCTTTCAATATTATTAGTAACAGCACAGGGTAGGTATACAGGGTTGTCGAATAGTTTAATTTTGAGCAACGTTTTAGGTTAGCTTTGGACATCATTGAGAATGGGAGTCTCTATGTTGCAACTTTGACTGAACTCAATGATTTGAAAAGTCAAGAGTTTTACATCAATTCAGATGGTGCTATTGTCAGTGGTGCCTATCCAGATTATGCTTTGGGTGTAAGGAATGGCGATTTTACCCCGGGGAGCTACATAGTGCTGACTCCACATACAGAGGAGAACATTGAAAGTGAACAGTTTTCATTGGAATTTTCGCAGAGTTGAAGCACGATTTTATTTTATTATGTTGAGAATATTGTCATTGTGTTGTCAATAAACCTACAGTTGTTATAAATAATGTTGTTATTTTAGTAGTTATTTCATGCGCTTTAAGCTGAAAGCAAACTAGATTACAAAAAAAAAAACATTAAAATTTTGAACAAGTTCCAAAAATATCAAAATTCTGCAATGCCTTGTAGTTACGAAAATTTGTTAAAGAGTTGTAAATTTACCGGTTATCTATTGTCTAATTTTAGTAACATGACGTCATTATTTACTTGCAGTGAGCTTGCACGTTTTCGAGGATTGAACCTGTACTACAGACGCCAGTCTCTGCCAACGAAATGTCAGATCACAAAAAAGTTCGCAAGCACTTAAGTTAATCCAAACAATGGCCCCTTGCCATTGTAATGCATCATTCTGTGACAGATAGCTGATCGGAAGTATCTTGACGTTAATTTGATGTATCTTGAGTGTTTGTTTTTTTATTATATAAGGCTCTTAAATACTGTTTCTGATTTCATCATACAATGAATCGAATATTTTATGACGAAATTTTCTTTTTGATTTCAAGTTAAAATTCATACAATGTTAGTCGTGTTTTATCTAGGTAGAACTAAATGAAAAAAATGCGCAGAAGACAATAACAACCATAAGAAAGGAAAGAAAGTAAGAATAAAATAATTGGTATTGATTTTTTTTGTGGAGGCTTTAGTCGATTTTTCTTAGTACGTAAAGACCGTTTAATGAAAATTGCGCTGAGTAATTGCTTCATACCGTAAAAATAAAATTTGGATTAAGTAGATAACTTTTATCAACCACACAAAAAACAATAATAAAAATCTCACAACCAATGCGTCTAGTTCTAAGCTGATGCAATCAAATGATAGCTACTTGAAACATCAAATAAAAAGCACACTTGAAGTCTTGACGAGTTATGAATGAATGTCATAAGTTCTGATTTTATCTCGGTATAAATATATCCTATTTTGAACTGTTTCCTCACTTCTAAACTAAAATGGCGTTATTCAGAATGCATTATCTCGCGATATTGGTGAAGTTTTAATAATAATTTTATTTTTAGGTTAATTATTTTGTTTGTGGGGCTTTCTGTGAACATTGGCTCCGTTCTGAGCAACTGCAGCAGCCTTGACAAAATGTTCTACATACAGCATAAAGGAACCCGACATGTTCTAGCTAGCCGTGGTTGGGACGTAGGTTTTGAACCTTATGACCCTAGTATATATTATGCACAGTATCAAGAATGGAATGTTAAGGTTTCTCCCAGAACTGGATTGTTTACATTCAGGTCAGGTACTCAGTGTAAGTTTTGACATTGTATTAAATTAAAAAAGAAGAAAAATTGTCATCTTAACGGGGCGCCCGATTTTGTCAGAGGATCGTACGAAGTTGTCTGAAATGAAGAAACTGACTCCATTTATCAGGCATGGTTTTTAAATGCAGATGGTACTATTGTTAATGGTGCTCTGAGTGGGTATGCGATCACAGTAAATAGTACTTCCTTTGGTGATATCGACAAGATTTATCTCGCGCCTCTTGGAGAACCGGGGGCGGACCAACTTTTCGAATTGTTTTACGCGGACGAATTAGAAAAACAATTCGTTTCTTAATAAATTAATTATTTAGCAAACTGTGTTTTAAAACATGAATACCTATAAATTTTATCTTTTGTTTAATATTATATATTAATTGATACGGCAAAAGTATATAGTGCTAACCACCTGTTGTACCAACCAGTACACTATAAACTAAAAGTTAAATCACAAATTAACGAAAAAAGTTGTTTTAATTTATATATCGTTTCAGATCACTTATCTTATTTTTCCAAGTACCTATGAGAGCTTTGACAAGTATTTTTGCATATGACATAAAACAAGTGTGCTAGGTAGCCGCATCCAGAATGTAAATTTAGAAATCTATGGTTCTAGTACATATTTTAAAAATTATAAACAGTACCTATGTTAAAAGTATATATGCCTTTAATTGATCTTTAATAACTTGTAGGCCATGCACTTTGTGTGTAAGTTGGTACTACCGACAAACTGTCAATAAATTTGAAATTTGACGAATTAGAACTTCTTATTAATACCAGAGATATGTAAAAGACTAGATACAGATATTTAATGTTCTCGTGGACATACGTTTAGGCCCAAGATGTCAGTGTACGTTTATATCTCCCTCTTTTTCTCTAGCACGTACAATGGTAACCCGATATCTGAAGGTCTCGCTCTGTACGGCGCAACCAATCAGTTGGCGCAACGTTTGTCGTTGATGCCGTTCTTGTGTTTGTGCCGGTCCCTGTCAGACCAATCAGACTGTGGGTGGTTCTAATTATTTATAATTGCCGCCATCAAAACGGGCCAATAACAAGACAACCACCTTTTAGAGAGTGATGGATGTAGCCTACACTTGGCAATCCATAGTACTGGTGCTGATATAGAAAAGGATAGGCGACACAAAGTATTGCTACTCTTAGATCATAGATGTTGGCCCTAGATCGGGAAAGCTATAACCGCATCTGTCTTTTACATATCTCTGATTAATACACAGGGAGTGCCAACTTATTTAAAGAAATGGTGGAATATTAGATATCCAATATTTTTGAAAGCCCTGTATATTTCTATTACTGTAGGTATTTTAGATGAACACTAGATTTTTAAATTCGGTTGGTATCATGATAAAGGGTGCTTTGATACATTTAATAGTACAGTTTGGATTTGTTTTTAGTCATAAATCAGATGATTGTTCAACCACACTAAAACCGTACTTTCAACAATAAATACGACTTGTCACTTTTTTATACTGATATGTCGAAAACTCACTTTTACGTCCTCGGCTTTCTGTTTTTGTCGAACTTCTTTTAATTAAAAAAGCTAAAAGCGTCGTTATATGTACTCCACTTTTACTGAATGTCGTTATGGAATGGGTACCAATTATTTCTTTTAGTAGAAGAGCAAGGTAGCACTTTGGTTTTTATTAAATCTGTAGGACTTTTCCTCCAGCAGAGCAAAACAATTTTCTAACGTCAAAACCATTTACATAACAAATCATTAAATTTTAATAGTGTTAATTACAAAATTGTAAAAGCAGCTGCTTTTAGTTAATCTTAGTTTTTACGCTTAAACTGAACACTATATTTTTTCTTTCCTAAATTTGTGATTTATTTTTATTTAACACAAGATATATGATTTGCTGATTTGCTTGATTCTATTACGCTATGAAGGCATTTCTTCTTAATGAAATTCTCTAGAACCTTGTTTTCTTGACAGACAAAGAACAATTTTGCTAAAAACTGATTAAAGTCATATATCCTTTCTTTCTTCAACAAATTTTATAATGTCACATTAAATCGCTTTTTCTTTGAACTTTAGTTTCAAAGCGGAGAAATTTTTCTGACGCTGTGTTGCACAGGCAAGAATTCTTCATCTTTTACAAATATTTCCAGTTTGAGACATCATAAAATGAAACTATGCCGTTAATCAACGTTGTGTTATCTTGATTGCGGCCTCATGGTCAAAAATTTCGAACATTGAATTTATTAGGTCAAATATTTATGGAGACGATTACCTAAAAAGGTAGTAAAGAATAGTTGCATTGATAAAATTATCACTCGCTAGGGTTATAATAATCGAATCATCTGCACAAAATTGGTTTGTAATTGATTAAGTACGGGGTTATACAAATATTATCATCGTTTAGGTATATTATTATTAATATACTTAAACAATGATATTATTAAGAAGATAGAAAACTCTGTGATCCAGCACAAGAGAGTACTACCGAATCACATTAGTCCACGCACTCTTAATTGAAGAAGATTTTTTGAACCTGGATTAGCCTCTGGGATCTATACACATATTGTTTCAAATTCCTGGAGATTTTTCTAGGCTGCTCACAGTTTGGATAAAAATTCTAATCCAGTTTCGGCGTTGGGTTATAAATTTAATCCAATCTCACAAAATCTTGAAAAATCCACTGATGGCATTGATCAAGATTAATTTGTTCGTATATAAACCCACCACAGAAAAACTCTAGCAGTATTGTTCCGAATACACTTCTAAGAACACAACAAAAATGGCACCTCAAAGGTAAGTTTCAAAACATAATTTTTTTAAATTTTCTTTATAAAACATTCTAATTTTAGCTTCTCGATGTATTTGCTTTCTCTCATTCTTGCAATAAATATTGTTGCAATTATGGCTACCCACACCCATTATGACCCAAACAAAGTTTATACCATTCGTCCCGTGCATGATAAAACTGTGGCTCTACATACTCGTAATCCATCACAAGTTCAGTTGCAAATATACAGCCACGGGAAAGCCTTCTCGCTCTTCCATATTCAACACAGCCACGAAGATCGATCATTGTACCACCTAGTTAGTGAACCAACAGGGTAATATCTGACTTAAACTGTCTACACATTTTCAATAACATTGCTTAAACTATTTATTAGAGAAGTAATGGATGTTCATGGACGAACCGTTGTCATGAGTCCAAGAAATGGGTCTATTACGCAGTTGTGGCACTTGACACGTAATCATATTTTTAATGCACATACCAACTTGGTTCTTGCTATCAGAGATGGAATTTTGGAATACGGACATCTTAAATATGGAACCCCGCTTATTGTTTCTCCAGATATCGGAAGCGGCAACCAGCTGTTTGAAATATGGGAAGATTTACCTTCATCAAGCTATTAAAGTGTTCGTCATATTCTGTGTTATCCTTGTATATTTGTATATTGTGTGTATTATGAACTTAACTCTAACCAAGCAAAACAATGTTATATTTATTTAGTGTTAATACAGAATTTTAAATATAAAATATAAATATAATACAACTTTTGTATTTAAATGCACTATGTCCACTATAAAGGACCTCCATTAGTCAACTCGAATTGTTGATCTTCTCCAAAATTCTCACCAGATGCTATGTAGACAAAATTTTCTGCGTAAAATGGGTACTGGTCGACCATTGTACCGTAACTAAATAAACCACCGTTCATAAAAGTGCCATTACCATTGATACAAAATTCTTGATAGACGTTGCTTTCAA